AATGAACGTGTAATTGTGTACAGCATTTAATTATCACTCTTGTTTCCTTGACTGATTTCCAGACATGGTTTGCTTGGGCAAAGTGTCCAACAGGTTTGGTTCGTTAACTTTTAAGAAAAACCTGTTGAAACACTTTGCTAACAAAGAAAGGATTCCGGAAGACGGGATTAAAATTTAAAGAAAAAAAAAAAAAAAAAAAATGTGTCATGTTACCTGACACCATGAGCAGAGGGTTCTCTGTTCAAAAGTCGAAAGTTTAATATCAACGAGTTTCAAACAGGAAATAAACCTAAACCTTTAATATGTTGACTTTTCAATTGCTTATTATATGTAATTTTATTTCTAATCAGGGCCACATCAGGCGCGGCGTTTCGTTCCCTAATAGGGCAGCCTGATCCGGCCCCGATCTGGGCCCTGACAAAATTTCTACACTGGTATTGGAGAAATCAATTTTTTTTGATAATTATGAATTTTTTCGAATAAATGAAGAAATTTTTAATATTGTCAAAAGTAATGCGAGTAAAATATTTAATAATTTTATTGACAGATAATTTTTATTCTGATACTTTAAATTTTTGCATCACATGGAGATAAAATGGACTTGAAATTATTACAAAATTGTTTTTTTTTTTAAATAATTGTGTAAGAGATTCTTCTGTGAAACCGACTCATCTTCTCCAGGTATACTGTATATAGTATATACGAACAATTAAGTAATTACGCAATTGCTACATCGCGATGTAGACTTGATGAGATTGGATGGAATCATTAATAAATAAACCTACATTGTCTTTGAGCTTTATAAAATAAAAATAATCGTAAATTTAAAATAAATTAATATTTTAATTGCACAATTATTATTGTTCAATAGGTAAATATTTTTTCTTTGCGACAAATGAATATATATTTTTAAAATTATAAGCGCACTTTAATTGGATCAACAGATTTTGGTTTGCATTATTATCAAATAAGTATTTGTATTAGATAATAATTATCAATCTCAATTGATTTACAGATCAATTGTATCTCAAATACAAAAATTATTGGTTCAAATAAAATTTATTTAATTCAAATAAAAATTATTCGATTCACGTAAATATTTATTTAATAACTAATTATTTGAAAATAATTTTTTTATTATAGAGAATTATAATAAAATAAGGGATTTATAAATTCCAATCGAGAAATTTCGGTAAAAAATGAAATGCGGTAAATTGTTTGATTTCAGAAGGAGCTTATATATAAAAGAGCCGAGCTCCTGGGATCTATTTTAACGAGACATAAGAATTATCCTGGTGGATATGCGCGGCGGCTACTGTTGAAGGGGGGTTTTATAAGCGTGTCGAAAAAGCGCACACACCACATGGAGATAAAAGGAGAACTAATGTGAATGCGTAAACTTGGAATCCACGTGGACGTTTTAACGAAAGCCTATATGTACACGTAAGTACACGTTTTTTTTTTTTATTTATTTGTTTTTTTTTTGTTTTTTTTTTTTTTTATTTTACTTTTCTCAGTACACCATCTCGTTCGCGTATATCGGATGTCCACATCTTTGTATACACCAGCTTCTCAGGATTTCGTGGACCAGCGAAAGAACCTCACCAGCCGTCCGTGGTATCCGATAACGTCCTCGAACCGTCCTTATCCTTATTATAGCTAGTAGAACACGAGATCTCACGACTTTTACGGATTCTCTCCCAACATTTCGTCCCCTCTTTTATATAGTTATATAAAACAACTTTCAATATATATATATATGGTTTAATCGCGAAATTTATTCCCTAAAGTATCTCGCGCTCATAGAACACATCAATATTTTATAATATTTATATAGTGTGATATTATAATTTTCTCGCGAATCATTTTTAATCAGAGAGGATTAAATGAATCGCAAATGAAAGATGGGATAATTAATTATCATATTAATATTATAGACAAATTGGACTAATTAAATGCTATAACGATTGAAATATTATAAGCATTTTTACTGAAACCATTAAAACTTTTACTAAACTGAAAAAAAAATTTATTTGACTCAAATAATCGCTTACTTGACTATTATCAAATAAATATTTACTTAAACCAAATAAATTTGAGATGGTATTTGTTTCAAATACAGAAATTATTGGTTCAAATACACTTTATTTAATTCAACTAAAAATTATTTGATTCAAGAAAAATATTTATTTGTGAAAGCTTTCACGTAATTTTTCCTGTACATTTTCAAAATGTAAAATTTGAATTTTTTAAAAATTAAAGCAAAAAAAAAAGCTAATAAATTACATAATTAGCAAAATTTTACAATCTTGGTAATCAATTTTAGAAAGTTGTGTCAAATTAAAATATAAAAGCAAGTAAAACTTGAAGTACATCAAGTAAAATTAACTTAACTACGTGAGTGAGATTTTCTCGCTATAATTTGTTTGTTAAAAAGAATTTTTAAAAATTTTTAAATATTTTTAAATAAAAATGTTTAAGGGAAAATTATTTTTTTTTTAAAATTATAATTATATAATTAAAGATTTTTTTTAGACAAATTGAAATAAGAATATCTTAATGTTTATTTATAAGCAAGATTTAAACAACAATGGAAATTTTAAATTTGTATATATATATGTGAGTAATGCTTCATTGAGTAAGAAATAAAAATTGTTATTAACGAGGGTTTATCTTTATCTGGATCCTCCCTTACGAGCGAGGAATTCAAATAAGGAGAACCGCGAATGAATAATGAACTCGCGCAGGACTATGTCGGTTCGTTTGATATCATTTCTGCATTAATAAAAATGCCAAGAAATAATAATTCATTATATAATTAATAACAAATATTTTGATAATTAAGTAATTTAAAAATTATATCAAATTATATTTAATTGCTATAATTTGATGTGTCTTTATTAATTAAAAAAAATTATTTTAGAAATTTTTATTTAAATTTTACTTAATTCAGAAAATATTTTCAATTCAGTTTAATTAAAACAAACATTTCAGTATCTCCAGTGCACACAATTAGTTTAAAATTTATTTACTACTGATAGAATGTTGTGATTAACTTTTTAGAAAAAAAAAAATTAGAAATTTAAGAAAAAGACTTCCAGAGTAGATTCCTCTGTGATTTATGATTTTAATCGCTAACATATCTGGAAAATTAATTAGTAAGATGATTTTTAATCTACAGAGTTAGATTATTAAAAAAAAGAAGAAAATGTATTTTTAATATATTTTATACAGTTCTTTTGTTTTTAATTAAAAAAATAAAGTCTCTTATCAAAACCATTGTTTAAAGGTAATTTTAATGAGGTAATTCTGAGAAATTATATTTTTAAACACTCATTTTGCGTGATCTAATCTCCATTAAAGTTTAAAATGCAAAAAAAATATATAAAAACGATATGATTGTTCGTCTTTGGTTTTTTTTTTTTTTTTATTCATTCTTTGAAAATAAAAAAGTTAATTTATTAAAAAGGCATGAAAAGTCAATAAAATTATAATCAAATATTGTGATTCTATATTCAATATAAAAGAAATTCCTTTTCATAATGATATACACTATCATTGTTTACAAAACAATAATAACAATGGATATAATGAAAAATTAGAATCGAAAAAAGAACAAGTGACTGTATTATAATTTAAATATAGATTACTTTTCTATAGGAACTATATTGTTTTTTTTAATTTGTATATGACAAATAATATAATATTTATCTATTTTTTTATTACAATTTTATTTAGTTTCTATTATCGTTTATTACTAACTAAAATAAAATATTAATTATTAGTGCCAATTAATTTAATAATATTTAATTTCAATTGAAACCAAAATTAAATAATTGTATAATTGACCTAATTAATAATTATTTGATAATAGTCAAGTAAATTATTTGAATCTAGTAAATTTATTTTCAGTATCATATTTAAAAAATTCATATTAATTAATTACTGAGTTTTTGTAAAAACTTAAAAAAATTTTCGAGTAAAAAATATTCTCAGATAATGTTTCTCATGATTAAGTGCATCTGTTTGACAACAATATCTGCCTTTTTAATATCTATATATAATTTGGCGTGAAAATATTTATTTTAAAAGACAATAAACATTTTTAAAAGACATTAATAATACACGAAATTAAAAAAAAAGAAACAGTTTTAATAAAATCGAGTGCGCACTTTATATTATAATTATAGAAAAAATAATTATTATTTAGATTATATTAAAATAAAATGCATGATCCCGTTTTTCTGGAAATTGCACTTGGAAATCAGTTTTTCGATTTCTTCAATTAAATTGTAATTTACCGCAAAAAAAAAAAAAAAAAGAAATAAAGAAACTTTATTACGATTTCTCATCTCAGGATGAGATTACATATATACTATATATATAATTGAAGCGAGATTTTAATGTTTTTATAGTATTTATACTGTTTTTAGTTTTTTTTTGCAAAATAACTGAAAGTTAACTTTGTATTATTAATGATCCGGCTAACGTTATTAACAAAATAGTTTATTGCTGAAATTAGTTCTTATTTGAAGTTGCGTCTTACTAAAACAGGACATTACTACTGTCGAATAGTTTCACTTTTTCACCTTCTATTTTTGAGAATAAAAATCAATTTAAAAAAATTTTACTGTAAGAAGTAGTTTAAATATTTTCATTTAATAAATATTCATCGGACGTAAAATAATAATGTACCAAATTTCCGCTCTTCAGGTGAAAATGACCGAAAGTTCTCTGAAGAAGGGTCAGGAGGGGCGCATGTATCGGGACATACAAAAAATGATGGTGGTAATAATTATTATATAATTTGTAATCAAATAAATTTTTTTCCAAAGAGAAATAAGAAAATCCAATTTTTTCTTAAAGGAAAATTTTAAAAATCATTTATTTTTTTTTCTTCGAAATAAAATAATTTTCGATAAAATAATATTATGCTAAATACTGAAAATTAAAAAGAAGAATTTTTTACGAGAAAAAAAAGAGGGGGGGGGGAAACTCACCAGATTTGCCGACTCTGGGGCCGCCGAGGACGACCACCCTTATCCTGTTGACGTTTGTCATCAGCTGGCAGGGCGAAATGTTAGGTGTCATTTGAAGCACATGGATACATTATACATTTATATCTTGAATGATGATCTCCCACTTTTTTTTTTTATCACTTTTCTCTTCTTTATTTTTTCTCTCTTCTCAAAAAAAAAATGGTTAATATTGCGCGATTCTCACTCACATTTTTTTTTTTTTTTAAAGCACAATGCGGTCTTTCTCTCTTTTGTATCTATATATGTATAAAGAGGAGGACACTGACCCACTTCAAATGATAAAGAAGGGGAGGGGGGAGGGGTAAAGGCGAGTCTTATGTTCACTTGAAGATTTGTGCTTTGATAAAAGTGTTTACAAACACGACAATACGCGCCAACTGTCACTGATTTGCATCTAACTCGGGATCGGATTCCCTTTTACCTTTGGTTGTCGTTGTCGTTTTGCCCGCAACTTCGCAGAAACTTTTTTTTTTCTTTCTCTCTCTCTCTCTCTCTTTCGCGGTCCACCGCAAAAATTTATTCACTCTTGAGATTACCTGGACGCGTAAATTTTCTTTTTTTTTTTTTTTTTTTGTTTCCTTTTTGCGTGTAAACAAGTGGCACACGCACTTTTCCGCGGATTTCAAAATATGCGCGATATCTTTGTACCGCTTTGTAATTATTCTTTTGCAAAATGGAACGTTTTACCAGCTAAATTACCAGCCACAACTTCCTTTATTCATTTTTTTTTTCTCATTTATCAAACATTTTGCGGTTATCATTAAATGAGATTTTTAAATAATTTTTTTTTGCTTTTAAATTTTAATTTGAAAAATTGGTCCTTTTTTTCATTTTAAATTTTTTGTGCAATTGAAAAATTTGCTGGTTATTATTGTTTTTTTTTTGCAGAATAATGCTTTGTCGAGGGTCGCGAAGATAGCCGCAGGAATTCGCGTAATGAAGGCACAAGAGCAACCACTCAAAGTGCCGAGGCGCCACTTAGCTCTCGACTACGCTTCCAGTTCTCTCTTTGGCCGATCACTTCACTTTCTCTGCGTCCTCGGGACTTATCCGGGAGTAAGTAACTTCACGATGATGACAGTATCGATGGTGGTGGTGGTAGTAGTGGTCGCGAGAGATGCGTCTCGACACGTGGGACTTGACAATTCTGCAATTTAGACAGAAAAAAAAATTTTTTTTCTTCATTCATTAAGTCATTAAAAATAATATAGGATGCAAAAAATTACCAGAATTTTTTTTTTTTTTTAAACAAAACGATAAAAAAAATTAAAGGTACCAAAACTAAAAAGAAAGAAAAATTCGAATTTGCCGAATTAACGAACAAATTACAAGATAAATTAATAATTTAAGGATTTATAATAAATTTAGTTATTATAATAATTAATTAATAATAATTAAATTATTAATTAATTATTTGATAAATTAATCCAAAACAATTGAATTAATTATTTCCTATAAATAATTTATACAATGATTTGTGTAATTGTTTTATTATTAGTAATTATTCTAATTAACTAATTGGAGTTTCTTGTAATCAATAAAATCAGTTTTTTTTAAAAATTTTTTTATTACCGAAAGTATTGAAAGAAAAATTACCGGTTAAAAAATTTGGAATTAAATTATAGATATAAAACATTGCAAACTACTGTTTTCGCGCGAGGGATTTGTTTGAGTGATTTGAAACTAAAATGATTAAGCAACTGGATTAGGGGAGATTAAGGCGTGAGATTAATCAGGTCAAGTATATGGCAAGATCAAAAAATAAAAATTATGTTTAAAAAGATTAAGCAGGTTCAACAACTGGAGTATATATATATATATTGAGCTTCTGAACTAATCGTGATCCACGATTTTCTATATTGTTTGGTGATAGGAGACACGTAACACTTGCACAACCCACGTTAAAAACTGATCACAAACTGATAACAATGACTAGTCATTTATCATTCACGTTTATAAATATATGCGCAGATCTTTTGAATGGTACTTCCTCATTCACGCATATATGATCTATTGCTTTTGACACTCGTTGCATATGGGAAAAGCCACGTGATATTCATGTATAAATAGAGACAAAAAAAAATTAATCTATCGAAAGAAATTTCTTTTCAATACAAAATAATATTTTTATTTTATTTATTTATTAATGGGTTTATTTATTTATTTTTATTTATTTTTTGCATATTTTTATATAAAAAAAATTTAATCTTGTTTCGATAATTTTTGAAATATTCGAACTCGTTTTTTTTTTTTTTTTTAAATAAAATTGCCCCTTCGAATTAATTTTTATCACCTAATCATTGAATTCATAAACAGTCTCTACTCGGTAGAATTTTGTAAAACGAGCAATGTAAACGTAATTATCTGTTAATTAGATAAATTACATTTTTAAAGAGCATTTACTACCAAAAAAAAAAACGAATTTTTATCAGTTGATAATATTATGTCAGTTTTATATTATCATCATATTAATCCCGAAATCCTAGTAATTTGGCCTTTTCAGACGAAGGTTTTTTTTTATACACGTGAAGTAAATATTTATTATATTATTATCATCATAATTTTCCGGAAATATAGATTTGAGAAATAATTAACTTTTTAAATCAAGAACAAATTTTCCGTATAAAAACTGTTAAATTTTTTTTTTTAATTAACGATTTCTAAAATAAAATTTCTAATAACAAAAAGAAAAAGACTTTCTTAATTTAAATTGCGTGAAATTTTCAATATATGATAATAATATCAGATTATAGGAAACGATATAGAGGAAATTCAGTAGATGTAAATTTGCGATAAACTTTAGTGCACATAAATAGAATTCGTTACAAGGTACTATCCAATTGAATTAATTACATTTATCAAGAAGGAAGTATTTATTAACATTCTTTTAAGATAAGATTAATGATGCACCCTGAATTTTTGATGATTCAGGTGCGTATATTCTTTCTTTTTTAGATCAAGAAAAGAAATTTCATTTACTATTAAAAAATTTTCAATTTTCAAATTAAATTTAAGAAAAAAAATTTTTTCACTCTTTTTTTTTTAATGCTCACATTGAATAAATCGATCTGTTTTTTTTTACATTTTCCTCGTCTGAAAATACCAAGAACCATAAAAAAACAATTACGCGGCGCTCATCATTCGTTGCAAGAAAAATTCCACATATATATACATCTCACCGAAAATAATATCAATATTGAATTTTATTTGAGGAGAATTACAAAAATGTACACACAACATTATAATATTGTCAGCATTTCCTTATAACTTGCGACACATAGAATTGAACTCTCCAAGGATAAAAAAAAAACAGGGATTAAATTTAATTATCAATTATCATTGTTGGTACATGATTCATTTTAATTTAATTAGCATTCAATCATTGCTTTGTTTAATGTATTTATGCAAATTTTTGCATTACATTCCAATTATCAATTTGATCTAAAAAAAAAAAAAAGTTGATTAATAGCTATATATGCAAATTAATACACAATTAAATTTGCAATCTAAAAAAAGAAAAGGAGGACTTGTTACATCAAGGGCAGAGTTCAAATTTTGAACCTTACCTCAAGACTCTTTCTCAAATTTATTTTGTATGAGAAGCTCGTTTATAAGATCACCGTTTTTTTTGCGATATATGGGCACACACTAAATTCTCATGAATTTCACTTAGAACGAAAATTTATTAAATATCCAAAAGGGAAAAATATTTGAGGATTTTCACTTGACGAATGAGAAAAAAAAATTATTATTTGAGCGATTTTTCACGGAAATTCCTTGATTAATAAAGTGATGCCGGTTAAATGTTATTTATATTGAGGAAAAGCGGCGACTGCTAAGCACATACATATACAATTTGTACTACTCGCGCTGAGCGCTCGCCGGCGAATGCTCGCATTTGAGTCCGTGCACCGTCTAATATGCACTACCTACTGGGTAGTACGCGATACCGCGCCATGCTACAAGCTGAATGTTAACAGGTAAAGCCAACCAACCAGCCAGTCAAATGTCCACGTGTTAGTACAAACACATACAATCATGACCGTGCAACGATAATGTGGCGCCTGTGGTTTTCTTTCTTGAAAAACTTCTTTTAAAAAAAAAAAGGAAAATAAAAAAAAAAAATAATTTTTCCTACAATTTTCTTCAAGAGAACGCGCACAAATATTTACTAAAAATAGTACTGAATTTCCTCTGAATCGAATTTTATTTAACCAATCGCAAAATTAATTAATAATCGATTGTTATTAACCAAATTTTCATATATGGGAGATGATTTTAATTTTTTTATTTTGAAAAATAAAATTTTTAAATTAAAAATGTTTAAATATAAAAATGAGAACAAAATTTTTATTTAAATTAGAGAAATAATTAAATAATAAAGTATTTAAAACAAAAGTAAAATATGGAAAATTTACTAAATAGAAAATTTTTTTTAATAAATTTTATATAATTGTCATTGAATATTAATCAATTTTTCCTATATATCTGTTTATTTTAAATATTTTAAAAAACACCTATATTCCTCAAGATAATATAAATTAAGAAAGCAATAATCTTGTTATCGTAACTTCCACTGAATGTTTATACGAAGCACAGTTCATGAGCCAGTGACTGCGCGCCTGACTGAAACTAGCTTTATCTACTGAAATTTTCATTGTGTGTACGTGATATCAAAAGATAATGCAAATTTACAGCCCATATATATATATATATGCGAATAGACGCATATTATTATTTTTTTATGTCATCTCGTTTTGGCAAACTTTTTTATTTACTTTAATTATATTTGATATGAATATAAAACAAAGATTTCATTAATGGTTCAATCAACTTTTTTTAACCCAGTTCATTCACTGACAATATTTTTACATCAGAAAAAAAGTTTCATTAAAACAAATAATATTCAATTATTATAAAAATTATAATTAATAAATTAATTCTACTAACAGATAATTAGTAATTAGGTTTATTACTATTAATTAATAGTATTAATAATTTATTAATATTACGATAGTTTAATTTTAATATTTTTTTAAATATAACATTTTTTTAATCTAATATTATATTTTTAAATTTAATATATTTTGATATTTAAATTTAATTTATAATAATAATTAACGCGAGACAAAAAAAAAAGAATATTCTTTTTTATTATAAAATACCGAATGATAAATTCAAAGAATATTAAATAAATAACATTAATTGTTTTTTGTATACAATTAATTATTTATATTATCAATAAAATAATAATTATTGGCAATATAATTTGTTTTATCTTTCAAATTATATTAAAATTAATTTTTTTTTTTTTTCTATTAAGTTTTTAATATTTTTAATTTCTCCGAATAAGTGTTATTTTATTTAACTGGCATGTACTTCATTTATTACTCAAGTACTTAAAATTAATTATATCTAAATAAGAGATAAAAAATAATGATTGAATTTTAATAATTACTTACTTATTTTGAATTTCAGTTGTATGGTGTCATCTTGAGGGGAACTCCCGAAATGACTGTGGATTCCCCGATTCACGTTGGTAATACTGGTTGACAGTCGGTATTACCAACTGAAGAAAATCAAATTCCAGATGTCACTTGTGTAGCAAGAAAAATTGAACGCATCCATTTGATTGTAGGTGTGACGGTCAGCTGATTTTCTATTCTGAAAGAGAAAAAGATCATTTGCAGACGTTTTGGAAAATAAATAATATTTTATTTCAAATACTTTGTAAATTAAATAAATTTTTTTTTGAAAAATGGCACTACACTCTGCAGGAAAGGGAAAACTTTTAGCTGTCATTGGTGATGAAGTGAGTAAATTAATAATTATTTAGTTTTTTCCTACTCCAAAAAAATTGTTGAAATAGCTCCAAAAATTTAATTTCTTGTAATAATTAAGAAATTTAATTTATTTTCTTTCAGGATACCTGTGTAGGATTTTTATTGGGAGGAGTTGGCGAAATTAACAAAAATCGTCATCCCAATTTTATGGTTGTTGACAAAAGTAATATTTTATTATATATACACGTACTTTTATTTTCAGATCAATTAATTAAAATTTTATTATTTATTTTATTTTTATTTAATTTAATTTTAGAATTTTTATTTTTATATTGATATTTAGTATTCGCTTCTTTGTAATTTGAAGTTTATTGAATTATTAAAAATTGTATTATTTTATTTCTAGATACAGCAGTCGGAGAAATTGAGGATACATTTAAACGTTTCATCAAACGAGATGACATTGATATTATACTCATTAATCAAAATGTAAGTTTAAAGAAGTTTTTTCACAATTTATCATCACTAATTTTGGAGTTTAATTAAATATTTTTCATTCAGGAAAATAGAACTAGAATTACTGTTTTAATTAATTTTTTTAATTAAATTAATTTCAGATTGCAGAAATGATTAGACACGTTATTGATAGTCACATTCAGCCTATCCCATCAGTATTAGAAATTCCAAGCAAAGATCATCCCTACGATGCCAGTAAAGATTCTATATTACGACGAGCAAAGGTAATTATTTTTTAATTAAAATTACGTCATTTATTAGAAAGAAATTCCTTAGAGTCATTCCATTATACTTGAAAATATAATGGAACAACTCTAGTATTCTAATTTTCATTTTCAAAAATGGTAAACTATATTTTTTTTGCCTTTTTAGGGAATGTTCAATCCTGAAGATATTCACTGATCATAAATTAAATTTTTGCACTAAAATGTTGCAATGTATAAGATGTATTATAAAAAAAAAAATATGTTAATCCCTCATGTAATATTTATTAGGCAAATTTCTAAATATTATTTCCTGTTGCTGTACAGTATTGCTGAAAGTATATATAACATTCCACTGAAAAAATTGTTAAACAAAAATTTCATGCTTTCATTAGTACAATAAAGTTTGTTTATAATCTAAACGATATTACTTAATCAATAAAAAAAAATTGATCTATTAAGACACATCATTTATTGATAGACGTGAGATTTTTAATTACAATATATTATTAAATTTTTACTTATTTGTTAGAAAGTATAAATTTTATAATATTGACACTGAAAAAAGTACTTTCATCGAAATCTTCTTATGAGTATGGTATTTTACTTTGGCATTTTTTTTTTTTTTTTGCGAAATATAAAACTAATTTTGTCAATTGGTGCACATTATAATGATTCAAGTGAATCAATCGAGTAAAAATCCCTTAATACTTTGGCTATTCAGTTAAATTTCTAATCAAAGAGTATTATTAATAATAATAATAATTTTCTAACCTATTAACTAAATGGTAATTAAAATTTAATTATAATATAATATACTATAATTAACTTTAGATTATAATTATTTAACACGTATTATAATAAGCACTTGACTGCAATTATATATTTTTAAAATTAATATTTAACTATAGCAATATATTTATAATAATTCAATAAAGATGCTGAAAATTCAATTTCTTTATCAATAATATATATATTATTATTATTATTACTACTCTTAATGAAAAACGTATTTGATAACAAATGATTTAAAAAATTTTCTTATGCATAATACCCATTGATTCAACGATAATTTTAGACTCATACCATTTTCGTAGATATATTATTATTTAATATAAACATTTCTTTGGCTGTTTCATTCTCTCACACACAATGCAAAAAATTTTAAGACGAAAACACTTTTTTATAGGCAATGGTTTTTGCATTTAGCTTTTATAAAACAGTATAAAATTTATTCAGATCTACGTAGTTAGATAAATTTAGGTAACTGACTTCACCTTATATATAATTTATAAGACTAAACAATATAACGAACATTAATTACTTTAACTAACAGTAATTCGTAAGTTTAAGTAATTTATAATTGTACTATTAAATCATAAAAACCTGAATTAATAATTAGATCATTTGTTGCATTATAGTTTTCTTAAATTTTTTTTTTTTTGAAATTAAATAAGAATTAGGTTAATTTTTCTTTGATTTCAAACTCTTTGAGATAATATTTTTAAACACGTAGCTTACAAACTCAAGAGATTAATAAATTCCCCTCAAAAAAATAATGAAAAATAAATAGAAAGAAACAAAAATTATAGAATGTTAAGTAGAAATATAAATGCTTACAGCTATTCATTAGATTCTTGTTTGGTTGATGTTCTAATATCATTGGTGAAAAATAAATCATTGGTACATCAAGCGTATATGTCACGCTCCAAAAATTGTGACTTTTGACAATTATAGCTTCAATTGAAGATTTTATCTTATTGTCTAGACAGTCTGTAATCTTTTTACTTTTTTTACAATTTAAAATCAAGTAAACTAGATCAATCGTCATGTTCTTCTCGGGCAGACATAAATAATTTCTGTATTGTATGCGTTAATTTCACTGGAAAAAAAATTATTTCATTAATTATCTAAAATAAATTTTGAATTATTCCTAAGAATATAAAATTAATAAAAAAAAGAAACTTACTGTTGAATTTTTGAAAACCTATTGGTTTCTTTTTCCAACAAACACCTAATAAATAAGCGGGAACACCTGTTAATGTAATAACTAAACCCATGCCAACTTCAAATGGTCGTTCATAACATGGAACAATAACTAAAAATGCGCAAATAATAACAAATACAATTGGAATCCAAAGGGGAACCTAAAAAACAAAAATTAAATTAATTATTTTTAGAAATTGAAAAATGATTTTTATCGAAATTTACCTTTATTGGTCGAGTCATATTGGGTCGTTTATGTCTCAACCAAAGAACTCCAGCCACAGAGAGCATTATAAAGAACGATTCAACAATTGTACAATAAGTGATAAGAACATCCAATTTATTAGTGGAAAGCATTAATAATGACAAGATGCACTGAAAAGAAAAATTTTAATTTATATAAAATAACAGTCTAAGTAAATTTTGTTTTAATTTAACGCTCTTACCATAAATACTAATGCCGGTGTTGGTGTGTATTTATTGACATTAATATGACTCAACATTGATGGAAAATGTCCATTTCGAGCGCCTACAAAACACATTCTAGATGATGTCATAATGTGAACACTCAAGCCACCAAAAGCCGATACAGACACCATTACCGGGAGTATCCAAGCCATCACTCCCAGAATTTTATCCCCGAAAGTCTAATAAGTGCAAATTGTATTAAAATGATGAAAAAAATTACTGATATTATTTTTTAAAATGTTCTAAATTTACTTTGATATTTTATTAAATTTTATCAATTTGAACCAACTTTAATAAAAAATAGATTTTTTGAATTTTAAATTACTATTTAGAACTAGAAAAAAAAACTAGTTGTCATTTAGCATTGATACTTACAACGGCAATTGCATTGGACTGTGACATTGCATATGGTGATAAAACAGCGAGATATGCAACGTTTGTTAATACGTAGATTAATGTAACCAAAGGCAATGAAATGTAAATAGCACGTGGCAAATTTCTATAAGTGAAAAAAGTGCAAACGTTCTATTAAAATAATCTTCATATACAATTCCTTCAATTTGCTGATACAATAAGTCCTTGTCTTTTAAGTGATGATTCACAAGAATAATTAAGAGTTAAAAAACTTTTTATAAAAAAATTGAAAATAATATTTAATAATCATTTTATTGTAAATAATTATTACTAGAAACATAAAAAAAAATATCTATATTAAATTTGAATTTTTTGTTTTAAAATTAAAAATAAATGTACACTTACACATAAGGATTCCGTAATTCTTCTGTCATAAAATTTAAATAATTCCAGCCAGAATAAGAGAATATTCCTAAATAAAATCCAATTGCTACTTTTCCCGGATCAGAATTTGTGTTTTTAAATGGTTCTTGAAAGCTTGAGTAATTTCCTATCAATAAAAAAATATTAATATTCCTTTTTTTAATTCATTTGGAAAATAGTTATATATTTTAAAATTGAAAAAAAACATACCCATAAAAAGCCAAATTAATCCAGAAATAATGATAAGAGCGACGGCAGCAATTTTTGCAAACATGAAAAAATTTTGCATTTTAGTTGTCTCTTTAACGCCATAGCAATTGATAAAAGTTAAGAAACCTGAAATAAAAATCAAAGATAAAAATTTCTGTAAAAATATATGTAAATCAGGAATTTAAAAAATTAATTGAATTATTTTTTTACATATAACAACGGCAGCTATTAATTTTTCAGCATCCGCTGGAACTATGCAATTGTGAAAAAATGGTTCCAAAACGTATTTAGCTACTGTCAAGGCCATAATGGCATTTGTTGTTGGTCTGAAATAATAGAATAGTGTAATCAATTTTAAAATAATTGAAGCAATGTTGAAACATTTATAAAAATTACAATTTGTTCACTTACACAAATATTATGTTAGCTGCCCATAAATACAAAAATGCTGGCAAATCACCAAAAGCTTCATAAATATAGGCATAATCTCCACCACTTCGTGGGATACTGGTTCCTAATTCTGTGTAACATAAGGCACCAATCATTGACAATAAACCACATAGTACCCAAATAATTAATGAAAGACCAACACTTCCAACTTCTTCTATAACTTCCTTTGGTGATATAAATATTCCTGAAATTTTTTTTTAAATTAATTATATAAATTCCAAAAAGTGCAAAATGTTATAATTTCAAGAAAGAGATTAAAAAAAAATCTTACCTGATCCAAGAATAATGCCCAAAATAATAGCAACACCTTCTAGTAATCCAAGTTGTTTTTTCATCTGTACTTTATTTGTTGTATCATCTTTATCGAATTGAATTATACTGCCACTTAAATTTATTGATTCTAATTCTTGCATATTGTCTCTGTCTTTTATAGACATTTTCCCTATAGTTAAAAATTAGTTAAAATACAAGTTTATAAATAATAATATATAATACATAATAAAATATCGATAAATCGTTCAATTTATGAACGGTAAAAAAGAAATTTACATAAGATTTGTAAACAAAAGTTAACTATAAAATATTTATTAATGTTTCATAAACAATTCATTTATAGTTTTTCAAGAACATATTTACTGTAAATGTTTATCAATATGATTTTCCTCAGTATTAATTTATTCAATTTCTCATACTTTGAACTCGGTAATTATTTTCTATTTATCGGCAAAAAGTTTATTTTAAAATTGATAAAAAAAATTAATAATAAATAAATATATAAACTAGAATAGAATATTTAATTTGCAAATAACAATCTATATTAATAAACAAAGTAACCGTATGTTATCGGTTATTGAGTTATAGTTAATAAATATCAATATTCTTTAAGATCAATTATCATAGTTATTTTTTTCAAATTAAAGACCAAAGAACATACCCTTTTCTATTTTTGGACGAACAGAATTAAAAATAAGTATAAGATATTTTTGGGATTTTTTTTCTAAGTTGAAATTTGGTGATGTTACTTCATCACTATTATCTTAACTTAATTAATTAAGTATTACTTAAATTTTCTTGTAAATGTAAATATTAAAACACTGATTTCTTTAAAAAAGAATGTAAATAATGATTTTGTGTACTAAATCTAAGTAAATAAATTATTTTGGAGCAAAAGTAACATCTAAGTAAACACGTGTTGCTTAAGCGGCTGATCTGGACATACTCAATGAACTCACACTTTGTAGATAATGTAGTTTGTACTGGTTTTGTAGTTCAAAAAATTGCCGGAAGAGAGAGACTTTTTCCATTAGTGACATCTTGCGGGGAAAAGAATTCAAAAAGAGTTTTAAAAAAATTGATATATAATCGTCAAAAAAATGACAATAGAAAATTTTGTTAAATAAAATCTATTCACAAATTAAGTAAAATTGACAAATTTCAAGTATTTCGTGTTATTTGAGAAGTAAGGACAATGTTTTAAAACACTTTAGTAAATGGCGCGTTTAAATGAATCTATGATCACGTGACCTTTAACACTGCCGACATCAATACAACGACTTCAACTACATATCCAACCTAACCTTAAAAATTATAAACATTCAGGATAACGGATAATTTAGTTCTCTCTCATTTTTCCTATTTTTCATCATTTTCTCCAAATCGACGAAATTAAAAATATTTGACATTCCTGTTTATGTATTAAGTGATAAAACTATTGATATATTTACATTTTTATTTGAAAGTCGAGGTTAAATAAATCAAGATTGCAAAAATGGCATCAGCTATGGATATTGATGATGAAGAAGTAGATTTACCTTCATCTAGCAGTGGAAAAGGAGAAAAGAAACGCTTTGAAGTTAAAAAGGTAATTAGACTAATATATTATTTAAAAATTATATTTTTTCATAAAGATCTATATAACCATTTAAAAATATGAATATATCTAACCTCAATTGCGCTTTGTCATGCATTTGACAGAATTATTTGAAATATTAGTTTTATTTTCAATAATAATTTGTTTTACTGAAAAATATTATTTATTTTTAGTGGAATGCAGTCGCACTCTGGGCTTGGGGTAAGTGTACTTTAAATTATTTTTCATTTATTTCATAAAATTTTACTTCATTTATTCCACGTAAGTTATGTTTTATCATAAAGACCTTTAAATTGTTTTCTTTCAATGACAAAGCCTTTGTGTTTGGAAGTTTTGTTTACAAACATTTTTATCATGTAAATTTTTGAAACTACATTTATTCAAAATATTAATGCAAAGCAACGTCTTTGATAATGACATTTAGGAATTATTCATGAGAATTATTGAGTAATATATTTAGTTAGGATTATTGTTTTTAATATCTATTTCGCGTTTCGTCAAACAATTTTTTAATTATATAATTAACACAAGTATTATACAAATACCTATTTACGTTTATTTGTTTAAATTTTACGCGCTTAAAGTTTAAATTTCAATATTTTTAAGAAATTTGTCAAAAAATATTGAAATTATTAAAAACTATTTTTTATAAAGTTTTTGTTCCTGAAGTTTTGACAATTTTGTCAAAAATTATCACTGTGATTCAAAATTAAAAGGTAATTTAACAATTTATTATTTTAAAAAATTTTTTTTTAAAGTTTATGATCCTGAAATTTTGACAATTTAGTCAAAAATGATCACTGTGCTTGAAAATAAAAAGGTAATTTAATTATTTATTATTTAATATTTTAAAAAATTATATTTTATAATAAAATCTTATAACTTAAAAATATAATTTTCAAAAATGTGTTCATTTGGACGTTCAAAGCTTCAGAAATATTAAAATTTCTAAACTTTATATTTTGTATATTTAATATTGTTTAATTTTTAAACAAAAGAATTATTTAAATTTAAAAAAAAAATTTTAATTTTTAATGTAGAAGCTCATATTTTTATAACGAGTAGCCATCTTTTTCATTTAATAATTGTTATAAAAAAATGGTTAAAAGTACTAAAAATTAGTCTTGAGTTTCTAAAATTTACATTTACTTGCGAATAAAAACTTAAGCATAGTAAATGGGATCACAATTTGCTTTGCATATATTTACGCGTAATTTGTCTACAAACTATGAAAGTGGATTTACATAAGTTACACGTCAATGTCGTCTCTTCCTTAAATAGTGCAGACCAAATTCAAAATTATTTCAAGTTTTGGGCAAATATTTAAATTCGTATAAAGATATTAATATAAAATTAACGTTAATAATTTTTATATTTAAAGATATCGTTGTTGATAACTGCGCAATTTGTCGTAATCACATAATGGACCTTTGCATTGAATGTCAAGCAAATCAAGCTTCTGCTACTAGCGAAGAATGCACAGTTGCTTGGGGAGTTTGCAACGTAAGTTTATAAAAATTTGATTTAGTTAATTTATTAAATTAGATGAATTAATTTGTTAATTTAATTAATTAATTTTTCTAGCACGCATTTCACTTTCACTGTATTTCCCGTTGGCTGAAGACGCGACAAGTTTGCCCCTTAGACAATCGTGAATGGGAATTCCAAAAGTAAGAATTTGTTTTCCATTTTTAAACATTTTTCTATTTTATATTTTTTAAAGAAAATCATACAATTATTAATTTTTCATTTTTAGATATGGTCACTAGTCAACTTCTTGGACAACTGGGATGAAAAGAACTTTAAAAGTCTACTCATCTTAATGTATAATCGAAAGGTTAATCTATCTTTTTTTTTAAATTAAAGTTTAAAATACATTGTAAAGATCAAGCGTTTTTTGCTTTTTGAAAATTTAATCTTTTTTTATCTCAAAATAATTCTCTCACATTATTGACTCATTTGTTTTTAGAAAAAAAATAAATAATTGTATGAAATAATAATTCTCGAGAGGAATTTCTTTTTTGTTCACATATATATATATATATATATTTATTATGTAGGCATCATGGAAAATAGTTTATTGAACAGAAAGAAATTCGTGTTCTCTTTTAAATTGAAAATAAAATTTTTAAAATAATGAAAAAACTTTTCTCTCGTCTATTAATTTGAAAAATTGTTATATTGAAAAGAATATTTGTTTTGGCTAAAAAGTAATCAATAAAAAAGTAAAAAAAAAATAAAGGTTTAGGAAATCTTGAGGAGAAACGAAAAGGGAAGTGAAAGAGAGAAGGTGAAATTTTCGTAAAACCGTAAATAGCATAATAGCAAGCTGTTAGATGATTAGGGGATCCACGCGGTAAAAGTTGGAAAGTAATTTCGTAGAGGACGATTAACAAAACTATTTGAAAATGGGATTCAAGCACAACTCCGCGAACATGCACACGTCTTTTCCTTTCTGAGCTTTTTTCATTGGAACCCAGATGATCAGATTATCCGGTCTTACAGGGGCTTCACGTTGGAAAAGTTTTGTCCTTCCTTAGTAATGTTGGACGATTCAGGACTTAAGCTTCTTCTCTGATTCGTCACGATGTTTTCTCCTCGAGACTTAGTTACTTTTATTATCAAAAGAACATTTTTTTTTTTTTTTTTTTCATAAAATAAAGGCAAAAAAATGTTTTTTTCCCCCCATTATTTTAAAATTTATAAAAATTTACGAAAATATGAAAACAAAAATTTTATTTTCAAAACTACAATAAATTAATTGAATTTTAGAATGAAATTCAAAGTCGAGATAGACAATACTTATCAGGTCGCGAAACATAGAAAGCGACGACCTGGCTTCTAATCCGGGTATACAGCGAAAATTACATCCTTGGAGACCAACTGGCATTTACGAGGAGTCTAGGAGCCACCGCGCATTACCGAGTCTCTCTTCGTGGCTTGGTTTTAACGAGAGAGAAAGGGAGATACTTAAATGAAGACTTTTCAAACACTTATCCTCATCACCTGGAGCACCTGAGAGGAGATTATTGTTATATATCTTTTAGATGCAAACATTTTAATACACTCAATTCATTGAGGTATTTTATTTTATAATATGATTTTTAATTTATATTTGATTATGGATTACTGTTTTTATCGTAACAAAAGCAAAAAAAAAGAAAAATTATGCTAAAAGCAGATGGACTCAAAAGAAAAATTTCTTCATCTTTTTCATGCTCTTTTGTCGCCTACAGCTTTTACTTTTTATTTCGCTTTCTTTACGTTAAAGTAATTTCATTCCTGTTTCTTTCACATGTCGCAAGGAACTTCCTCTGATACTGACATTTCAGTTCAAGCGCTCTGAAAATTCAATTAGACAGACAGTTTTTTGCCTTTCATGTTTATATATACTGAAACCTTGTAAACTTTTGAAAAATCATTGTTGCTAATTAAATTTTTCCGTTAGTAACAAAGCAACGTCTTATCTACCGCCCCTCCTTTATTTTATTAATTTTTGTAAATTGGTTTAAGTCTCATGGTAGAAAAGCAAATTTTTCAAAAATTTATAAAGTTCCAGTTAACTTTTTTTTAATTTTTTTAAATTTTCTTATTTATTTTATCTATTTTATTAATTTTTATCTTTCTACTATTTCTATCTATTTAATCGATTAAAAAATTATTAATACAATTTTTAATCAATTTCATTTTTGATTGATGAAAACATTTAATACCATTTACTTATTGATTATTTTAATCTACTTTAAATTAAATTTATTCTAATTTCAAACAATTTCAATTTATTCTAATTTTAATCAACCTCAAATTCATTGGATTCAAATTTCAATTTACATTCTAATTTTAATCAACCTCAAATTCAATGGATTTAAATTTCAATCTATCGAAATTTTAATTGATTAGAATTTAAAGTAAGTGAAAATTAAAATCAATTTTAATTTTCATTGGTCTAAATTTTTATTTGTAAAAATAAAGATTGATTCTAAATTTTATTCTTCCAAATTTTAATCATCATTCGGTAATTAATTTATTTAATGTGCTTTTCAGTTGATTTGGAGAAAAAAAATATTAAAGAACACACTTGTTTGTTTTAATCATAATTTTTATTTATAATTAACAAAATTGTTATTTTAATATTTTGTGTTTACAATTTGCAGGAAAATTGAAAATTCCAATAATAATTCAATCAAAAAACTGGCCTTAAAGACTCTAATTTAAAATAATTCAATCAGTTGCAAATTGTGTTTTAATTTATTTAGCCACGTGGTCATCTTACCGGGAGTGAAAATTTTGTAATTTAAAAATTTTTTATTGTCAATGTGATACATTGTTTTTGTGTTTTATTTAATAATTTTTATTAAATTTTTGGCAAACTGAATAATAGAAATGAATTTTTTTTTCATATTTATGTCTGAAAACTTAAGTAATTTATATATAAATGAAATAATATTTAAATTTAAATATTATAATTTCCAAGTATTTGAAATATAATAAACATTTTTGAATTATCTTATACCTGCGTCCCAAGCTGTGCATGTTTACATTGAAGAACAAAGGCTACCTTAAGTCGAAGGTCATAAACAATATGGTTGGTAAATCCCAAAAACAATATAATCAATTGTAATTCGTGTCTGGACCTGTTTAGACGTGGTCACGTTATCGTTAGTGAAAATTTTGTAATTTTATAAGCAAATAATTGTTCGTATTAATTAAATAATTTTCTTTCTTGTCTTTTATTATGTATTTTCCCATTTAAATTAAGTAGCTTCGGGAGTGCTCGAATTTTTAAATTCGTGAATGAAAAATATTTTAGAATTTATTTTTCTTGTTGTCATTTTAGTAGATTTGTTTGTTCCGGGAGTGTTCGAAATTTTTTAAATCGCGTGTGTGTGGTTCCAGCAGATAATCTCTAATCTCCGCTTCTCTACAGAAATAAATCATCAGCTGCAGACAAAGGTTAGAGAAATATATTTTTTATAAACAATAATTATATGTAATTTGTTTTTTATACTAAACAATTAAAAAATATTATATTAATATCATTTGTGCAAAAAGGTTTGTACAATTTAAAAAAAAAATACCCCATTCTTCTATACAAGTATAGAAAAATTATCAAATAGGCAAAATAAATTAATAATATATATTTTATAGTGAACTATAATCGAGAAAAATATTTTTTGTTTGTAAAATCGGGAATTTATTTTAAATAACAAGTAATATTACCAATCTTTTATATTACGTGTTACTTGAGAAATTTTTCTAATCGGACAAAAAAAAACTGTTGCATTGTGATATTAAAGAGAAGGGAAATATATAAAGTGCGAGATTTCATTAACTATAAATGATGAAAACTAGCCAAAGTAAATTTATTAAAAATGGAAATTGTCCTTGAATTTCTCGGGCTTCAAATGAACTTGCATCAATATTTACCTGAGGACGGGAGATGGAATATAAATATGATTTTCGTCCGTCGCAGATACCGGCGACGTCGGCAGTAGTAACGCCGAGGGCCTCATTTCCGCCGGAAACAGCTCTTCTCACCCCAAAAACATGATGGTTTGGGTTCTGTGATGTTTGAGAGAGAGTTGGTACAGCGTAAAGGCCAATCGAATTAAATACATTCCCAAGAATCGACCAATCGACAACCGCGGCTTCTGTCTCTCCCGACTTTTGACTCAATTGTCCCCTCTGCATGTGAAAGCTTTTCTCTCTATCTCTCTCATCATCATCATCATCATCGCCGCTTCCTCTCTTTTCTTCTATCAGTCCTTCCTTATCGGTCCTGCTCACCCTTCATATATATATACTTCCCAACTCTGCAAAGGCACTGATTTCATTTCGTTATCAGAGTTTTAATCGCAAAAAAAACCTCTAAGGAAGCCGATATACTTTACTTCGTTTGCGGTAATGCGAAAAATTAGTTTTACTAAACGAAAAAAGACACGTGTCACAATTTTCGCAGACACTGTGCGAAAAAATTACTTTTTCAAAATTATTCTTTATTTATTTCCCCAAACGACTGACTAAATTAAACTTTTTGAGAGATGGAAATCTCAGTGAACTTGTTTTCTTAGAGTCAAGCTTTACTTTTACTATTTAAAAAATTAAAGAATTCACGAAATAGCCTTTTACTACAGATACAAGAACAAATTAGAATTGAATACAACGTCTGGCTGAAACTGGTCTTTACTACTTAAAATATTACAAAATATTTACTATTTAAACAAAAATTAATCAAGAAAAATTAAAAAATCATAAAATTTATTCTGACCTAGCTCAGCATCCGCTGGACCAATCAAAAAGTGCGCCATATATTTTTTGTTCGAGACTCCCGGGTTAAGACTTTGGCGGTATTCCCGACCAATTATCTCGCAAATTTAATTTTTCAAAATTTTTTAAAAAATTTATATGAGTGTAGCTCAGCATCCGCTGGACCAATCAAAAAGTGCGCCATACATTTTTTGTTCGAGACTCCCGGGTTAAGACTTTGGCGGTATTCCCGACCAATTATCTCGCAAATTTAATTTTTCGAAATTTTTTAAAAAATTTATATGAGTGTAGCTCAGCATCCTCTGGACCAATCAAAAAGTGTGCCATATATTTTTTGTTCAGAACTTTCTTCTAACTACTTTGGAGATATTCCCGACCAATTATCTCGCAAATTTAATTTTTCGAAATTTTTTAAAAAATTTATATGAGTGTAGCTCAGCATCCGCTGGACCAATCAAAAAGTGCGGAATACATTTTTTGTTCGAGACTTTTTGCTCAATTTTTTGGCATTAATCCCGAGGCATTATCTCGCGAATTTAATTTTTCGGAAATTTTTCCAAATTTGTTTTCTAGTGTAGCTCAGCATCCGCTGGACCAATCAAAAAGTGCGCCATACATTTTTTGTTCGAGACTCCCGGGTTAAGACTTTGGCGGTATTCCCGACCAATTATCTCGCAAATTTAATTTTTCGAAATTTTTTAAAAAATTTATATGAGTGTAGCTCAGCATCCGC